TAGTAACGCAGGTGGTGCAGACAAACGCATAGATCATCGCTACTGCAGCAAAGTGGGCGGTGTGGACAAACACCTGGATCCATGCCACTGCAGGGGCCACACACACATCATGCAACTGGTGTGTCCTGGCTTTTAGCCTACAGGCACCGATATGCTCTACTAAATTAGAAAGGTGTTTATTTAATATTTAGTGACTATGTGTGGCCAACAGGGCCCCCCAAATCTCAGGGACCCCATACAAATTCATGGTTTGTGCAGTGGTACACATCACTGCTGGACATCACACCACTGCTGGACATCATGTGCCTCATATGCGTGGTCTGTGTAGTGGTACACATCACTGCTGGACATTATACCACTGCTGGACATCATGTGCCTCACATCTGCTCTCCTCATGGTCATCTTTGATCAGGACTCGCCGTGCCAGGTGGACGCCACCGATGGGCTGTGCCGCACGGGGCTGGGGGATGAAGAGGAGCCGCCCTCAGGTACAGAACGCACCGTGTGATCTGATGGACACCCTGGGCACACTCAGTCAGCTGAGCCATGTGATAAATGTGTGAGGAAGCTGGAGACATCGTCCCTCAAATATAATAATGAAAACCTGTCATGCACATGCAGATGAACAATCCATGAATCCACAAAGAAAATACATATATTAAGGAGCAAAATGTAAGGAATTTGGTTGACTATTTGGTCAAACCAGTGAAATAAATTAAAAATTGCTCTGGACAGTTCAGAGCTCAGAGCTCACTGCTCCGTCTTTAATGTCACACATTAAGCATGAATCTTACAAAACCAACATAAAGGTGTCCAGTGGAGGGCGCTCTGGAACGCAGCGCTATGATGTGGGGTTCCCCTGGGTACCCCTCTGCTGTGTCCTACACTGCCTGGGACAGACAGCAACTCCCCCAGGACACAGTGTCTGGAAGATGGATGATCCTCAGACTTCGAGCAGCACTGAGTAGGTTTATCACAGCACTTAACGGCACCTTGGTAACGTTTATGTGGACAAGCACTGAGTTCACTGGTCTCCAATTTAATATTTTATTTATTTAGCAAATGATTTTATCCAACATGATGCACATTTCAGAAAGCAGGGTCAGACATTTCCTGGAACTGTATAAACAAATATACTTTTATTGTTAAGAATTTTCTTCTTTTGTAGTTTTTGCATCATCTGAATTTGTGAGTGAATTCTGCAGGCCCAGTGGCGCAGTGGTGCAGTGGTCAATACTGCTCTCTCACCATTAGAAGCAGCATTCACATCTCTGCCATGGCTCCATGTATATGGAGTTCTAATGATCATCTAATGATAATTAGATGAGTAGAAGAATAGGGTGAAGAGCATTGTGATGGGTTGGTCCCCTATCCTGGGTTGTTCCCTGCTTTGTGCCCGTGGCCACTGGCATAGGCTCCACACCCCCCGCAACCCTGAACAGGACAAGCGGTTATAGAAAATGGATGGAAGCATTTTCGATTCAGCCTAACATCCCTGGATCTGATGGTATGTGAAGTAAATCAGTCCCAACTACATAACAAATCCCAAATTAACCCCATCACCCGCTTCTGAGCCGTATTTGCTGTTAATTAAACTGAGTTATTCTTAACCAGAGTTTACTTCTGTGTTAGGCAGAATGCCGGCTTTCCCTCGCGTCATGAAAGCGAGACTGCAGGAGATATTCACGCTCCGGTCTGGATTAACTCTCTCTTACCGTTATCCAGTGAAGTCAGTCTTGGGTGCTGAAATGCTTTGGGGGGAAAATGACACTGATGGGGCGGCTGAATGGGTTGTTTCCCGTGAAAACAGCTCATCTGCTCTTCTGGATAGTGACCAGGCAATCTTGTTTACAAGCCATGACGCTTTGTGTAGTGTAAGTGAGTTCTCTGTAAATGTGGTTGGTTCGCGGTGCAGTTTGAGTCCTTTCTGGTACCTTTCACCCCCGGAATGTGATGTAACATAAACATTTCCTGTGCAGACCACGGAAAGCCAAGGCGCCATGATAACTCTTACTGTGGGGGTCATTGCATCACCTCTCTCACAGGATGGCTGACTTTAGGGAGAAAACAACACTAATTCAATCCTCCATCTGCATAGCAGAGCGAGCTGACTGAGGGCTTGATAATGAGATGAGTAGAATAAGATGATGGGAAGCGCTGCGGCCGGGGCTGGGGCCGACACACCCATGTGAGAGGCTTTGCTTCCAAGGGTCTCTGTGTGGTACAGTCCCTAGTGAGGGTATAACTTAACCCTAACCTAACCCTAACTCTAACCTAACCCTAACCCTAAACTTGTGCAGGGTCCATTCAGTGGCACAGTCCATAAAATGGGCATGGTGCACAATGTGAGGGTATTTTAGGGGTCAGTGAGGGGGCTGAGGGAGACACTGGGCATGGTGGCTGGGTATGCACGAAAACATAGAATGATGCAGGAAATTTAGAATTACAATCACGTATAATCACAATAATAATGAATAATCCCGTAATAATCCCGTAATCGCAGTAATACAGTGCACATGGTGTTTTGATGCTGCATCCTTATACACTATAATAATTTAGAATGACTCCCCGCGTACGTCCCTCCCCTCCGGGTGGCGCCCGGCCACCTAAGAGGCACCTTCCGCCTCTGCTGTCTGTCACTGTCGCCTGTGAGCGCGGAGCCGGCAGCGTGCTGACCTGGGGCCGCGGCCGCTTTGCGGGGACCGCCGGTGATGATCAGGTACGGCTTTGCCTTCACTCATACTCACTGCGGGCTTCATTTGACGCTGTTTAAATTTTATCATGTTTACTGTACTTTCCTTTTAAAAGCGCAGTTTTGTGTTGATAAGCGTGTAAGAGTAACTTAAACACCACACGTGTATTTGTCCTGAAACGGGAAGGGATTACACTAACAGCACATGGCTGAAAACGACTTTAATGTCAGTTTAGATCCGTCTTCTGCCGTTTTTATTGAATTAAATTAATTTTAATGGCATTTTAAAATCATCTTTTGTAATGTTTAGTAAAAAATAAAGCGTTTGGGGGAGTTAATGCCGCGTTTGCCGTCTGATATTACTCATGTCAAACGGACTTTCCCCGAAAGTTCCGGCAACTCCGTGCGTTTCTGTATTCAGAAACATAAAGGTTTTCATTACTTAAAATTCAGTTTTAGTGTTTAATATTTGTACAACTCGATGATGTTTAACGAATACGAAGCCAGTGTCTAATTTGAAATCCAAACATATTCACACTAACTGACTAATATATTGAAGACCAGAGGTGGAAATTTCAGGTCCAGAAAGGAAAAAATCCAAACCAAGATTCTGTTTCATCCTACCAGCTGAATACTCTGTGACGGTGACTCGAGGACTGTGTACTTTGGATTTGGTTTGGATTTGAACCATTTGGACCTGAACTTTACACCCCTGTTAAAGACGCACAAAACTTATAATGTGCTTTAATTGTAATTAAAGAAAGATAGACGTTTAGTTAAGATCGCTTCCTGATGTTTGCGGTCCAGTGATGGTGGACTGGAATTGTATTTTAGGGCATGAAACTGTCACAGTGATGGGAAGGGTCCCCTGTCCTATCTGGGTGACATGCTTTCCTGGTGACTTGAGTCTGCGGTCATGTTTGAACCGATTGCCTGGTGGGTGGGGGGTGGTCGCGCACCATTACGACCTGTTTGCGGCCCTTTCAGCCTGGTCTGATGATTCTAACTGGGATACTGGGGAGGGGGGACAGTTCACTATAGCAGATGGTGTTTCTGAGGTGTGGTGGTGTACTGCAGGTGAGCCCCGAGTCTGTCTCAGTCTGTGTGTGTGTCTGTGTGTGTGTGTGTCTCCACAAAGACTCTGTCAATTGTGCGTGCCTCCCCAGGGACTATCTGACTGACTAATCGTGTTGTGCAAATTTTCCAAGATTTAGATTTAGTTTGCAAAATTCCCCTCAAATTCCAAAAAGGGGAATTTTAATGAGACATTTTCAGCGTGGATATACTATCCTGAATTTTCATGCTCCTGATATCATTGGGATGAATTTCCTAGCTTGATGTGTCTGTGTGTGTGTGTGTGTGTGTGTGTGTGTGTGTGTGTGGTGGGTGACATTAGCGGCAGTGACAGGAAAGCCAACTCTTGCTTAGTGTGAATAACTTTGTCTTCATGCCTGGATGATATATTCACAGTAATGAACACTTGAGGCACAGTGAGAGCTCGAGAACATGACAGGTACTGGGATACCTGAGGGAGCCGTTTGATAAGTGATGAGAACAATGGCTACATGTTCAATGCTCAGCGCCAGGCCGTACAGGATTTGTGAGCCTTTCTTCATGCATCAGGCCACGCTGGCTGTGGCACGAGCTAATGCTGACATGACCGTCCTCACATGCATGTTTGTCCCGGCCGCTACATGCATGTTCATCTCGCACGTTACCGCGGTCCGAAGGCCATGAGTGTGGAGCTCGGCCCCCACGCAGCGTGTAGGGAGAGTGGCCGGGGCGAGCCGCAACCCAGATGCAGCCAGCGGGCTCCAGTTAGACCGCAGGCGCCTTCACACCATGTTCTGAGCCCAGGCTCAGAGGGCAGGCGCCCTTCTTGCTTGCACTCCCCTCCCATCAACAAGCCTCCTTGAGCAGGAATTTTAACTCTGACTGGAAGTTTCGGGAGCTGAATGAGGTGCTGTCTTAATGGCTGGTTTGCAGAAACATTTGAGAAGCCGTGCTGCAACCTCACCGGGCTCCACATTTAGGTGATGCCCCTCTTTCTGTGGAGACCTTTCAGAGAGAAGTGCAGATATTCAAGAACCTTTACTTGCCTTTTGTACAACAGCACATGGGAATTCTTACGTTAAACTAGGAGCTGCAGAGATGCATGTTTATGGAATAAAAAAGTTGAAGAATTGGCTGAACAAATGGCTGCTGTGTGCAAACATCTTTTCTGCAGGGCGGGGGGGGGCAGAAAAGCCAAAAACTTTACTCAAGTAATAGTAGTGTTACTGTAAAAAAAAAAAAAACTCAAATACAAATAAAAGTATTCATCGAAATACTACCCGCACAAGAGTAATGAAGTTACTAGTTACATTGGTCAGACTGAAGTGTCCAAACTAGGGGCACTCCATTATTTTTACTCGAGGCCCAAATTTTATCGGCCATACAAAGCTAAGGTGCGGGGGGGGGGGGGCGTCCCAAATGGGCGTTTGCCAAATGATCACACAATCCAGATCATATTCGGATGTAGTCTGGGATCTGCCGTTGCAGTACTCCTGGCCTACACTAACAACACTGACCCATCCCAGTGCTGGAAAAATAAAATAATAATAAAATAATATAGGAAACAATACCTAAAAATAGATTATGTAACAGAATACAAATAATAGAATATTTTTCTCCAAACTGAGGCAAACACGTTCCAAGCTGTCACCTATGTGTATGTGAAATTAACGGAAAAGATGGTGTTAAGTCAGATTGTGCTGGATACAAACGTGTACGCCTGTCCTTTGGTCTCTTGTCCCTCGTCCACACCACCTCATCTTCTGGAAGCAGCGGGGGCTGGTTCGTTTTGTCTGGGGCCCCATCAAAAAGTCGGAGTGCTCATCATTTTGGTGCGGAGTCCAGCCAGGTGTGGCTGATGCGTGCTGAAGGCCAGACGTGAAACGCGTTGGTGTCTTTGGGTATTTCCATGCAAAGTAGCCCTAGCGGTGATCCACAGAAGGGCCTTTCAGTGTGTTATGGCAGTAACCCTAACAGATCTCAGCGTGAGGGGCAAGCTGTGGCCCATGTTCACCGTAACGATTGGCCCGCTGCCGAGCAGGGTGGGTTCTGCTGACCTACAGGGCGGCTGATTGGACAGGAAGGCAGCTGCATGGTGCCAGTTAGTTTGCTTACTTCCTGGAGGCAAGCAGACAAAGCGGGACCCATCTGACAGCTACCCTGAGGCCCTGTGACCTGTGAGTGGCGTGTGCACTGTCTGAATTTTCCATTTCCTGTGTGGAACAGGACGTGACACTGACAGATGCTCCTGGGGGAGGGGGAGGGGGAGGGGGTGTGGTTCACATGCTGTGTCGCTGCCCGCCGAGACCTAAGCTGACAGCTCAGCCCTAACGTAGCTTCTAGAAGTTAAAAGGATTGTTTTCATTTTTTTATAATGACAGAATATTTACTAAGTTTATTTCCATGTGCTTTGGCACCATAAATAATGATTATACTGCAAATAATGCATTTTTTGTCACTCAAAGCGAATTTTATGCTGTTTGGCTGGTTTGCTGCGTGTCACTGTTTGTCTGGGGTAAAATGCTGTGTGACGACCTCTAGTGGAGACACAGAATCACTGCGTTGCTTCAGTATCATCATTCATACTTTAAAGTAACAGATTTGGGCATCAGTAATCTGGACCGGGATCTTCTAGCATCCCTTCAGTGTGTCAGTGAGGGTTTTTATTTACATGCGAGATTAACAGAAATGAAGGATAAGCACGCAGACAGGCGCAGTGAACACAGGGATTGTGTATGCAGGACAGGCAGGCTATGAGCGTCTGCGGTGAACACGCGGATTGTGTATACAGGACACACGCCCCAGCTGCTCAATACTCAGGCAGGCTATGAGCGTCTGCGGTGAACACGCGGATTGTGTATGCAGGACACACGCCTCAGCTGCTCAATACTCAGGCAGGCTATGAGCGTCTGCGGTGAACAGGACAGAGCTGTCCCTGCACAGCGGTTAACCAAACATGTCATGGTGACCGTGCTCTTAATGACCACAAGCAGTGAGAGTGATACGATAACACACCTGCGGCCAAGTTATTTAGGGACCACGCAGGAAGGAGGCTGATTCAGCCTTAAAAACGCTTCTCGTTGGATCATATGACACACTGGCTGTGTTTGTTGTAATTGTTGTAATATGTCGTGCTTGGTGGGAAATGCGATTTTGAGCAGTTTCTAATCTTTGGTCATGTTCTGTTCTTTTTTTTTTATGGCAGAAGTTCAATTGGTGTGTGTGTGTGAGTGTGTGTGTGTGTGTGAGCGGGTTTACCTGTCCTTATGGGGACATAATGTCCCCATAACGTGATAAATATCCATTTTTTTTTCCCTTATGGGGACCAGTTTCCTGGTCCCCATAAGGGAAAACTCTATTTTATAAAAATCAGTGACTGCTATGCAAAAAATTAAAAATGCAAAAACTCTTGTATTTTGTTAGGTTACTTATGGTTATGCTTAGGGCAGGGTAGGGGTTAAGCTTGTCATAGTTAGCGTTAGCATTTTTTGCATTGAAATGAATGAGCGGTCCCCATAAGGATATGTTTACCCTACATGTGTGTGTGTGTGTGTGTGTGTGTGTGTGTGTGAGTGTGTGTGTGTCCCCAGCTGGAGACAGACTGGCATCTCGTACAGGGTGTCCCCCTGCCTCATGTACTGTGCTATCTGGGACAGACTCTGGGCTTCACCATGATCGTCTACGGGATACATGGGGTGTTTAGACACGTGACCCACAGCTGATTAGCTTCTCATTGGTAGTTGGGCCACCTCTGATATGGAGTGTTCCTGCTGTGTCCTCAGATCGGTGCCAGGAGCAGACCGCACTGCCTAGGGCACACAGCATTATGGCCGAGCCAGACTACATGGACGACGACTGTGACGACCTCATCAAGCCCAAGAAGCTGGTGAACCCGGTAAAGACCTCCCGGAACCATCAGGATGTCCACAGGGAGCTGCTGATGAACCAGAAGAGGTGCGGCCCCCGGCAGTTGGTCTGAGCTTCCTGCCTATGCTGTTAGCTCTCTCAGGAACTTCAGCAAAGGTTCACACTTAAGCATGCTGATCTGTCTGCTGATCTGAAGCTGCCTCTCATCTCAGTACTTAGCATGGAATTCCCCGTTGTGTAATAAAGCAGCTGTGAGTCACTTTAGGTCGACGTGTCAAAATGCTAATCCAAGGTATATACATAGATGCTTTTTTAAGCTTCTTGTTTCTTGTTTAAAATGTCATAATGCCATAACCAATCAGAGCTTAGAGTTCAGTGGGCGAAATATCTTAACCAATCAGAGCTTAAAGCTCAGTGGGTGCAACACCATAACCAATAAAAGCTTAGAGTTCTGTGAGTGTTGAGCCCCTGTAATGTAAGGGATGAGGAATACAGCCAGCACCCTGTGTTAGCCCCCTCCCCCCAGGTGACACACGCAAAGCCTGTGACCATAGCGTCACATCAGAGACATGGGCAGCAGATGGTCTTTGTGTGACGCTGACACTCCAGCTGAACGGCACTCGAACTGTCGCAGGTTCGGAGGATGTCTTCCATCTTTCTCCGTGCCGCCCCTAGCCTTAGTCATGTGACCGAATAAATGGACCAGCCTGCTGGTCCCGCTCACGCCACCTCAGCGCTAGGGATACTGGTCCGATTCGTCGTGCCTGTCTGCAGAGATAAGAGCCTTCTCTGAAGGCTTTGGGCCATGTGGGCTGTGCTCCTGCCTGCAGGGGATTAGCAGGACTAGAGATGGGGGGCGGGGAGCAGATTTCACAGCTGTGTGGGGGCCACTCACGTCATGGCAGGTAACAGCATATAGAGAGAGAGGTGGGGGCCACCAGCTGAGGCCGTCGTGACTGTGGGGGGGCCACTGTCACACAGACTCCTCCAGTCGGTGCCAGTAAGTGACGCTTCCAGGATGCCATCAGTGACCCCCCCCCCCCCCCCCCCCCCCCCCCAACAGGGGCCTGGCTCCTCAGGACAAGCCGGAGCTGCAGAAGGTTCTGGAAAAGAGGAAGCGCGACCAGGCTGTCAGGCAGCAAATGGAGGAGGAAGAGGCGCACAGGAAGCAGTCGGATCTGGAGGTGGAGCTGCAGAAGCGGCAGCAGAGGCTGGAACAGGTGTGGCTGATGGGGAGGGGGCATAGGTGGGGCAGGGGGCCGGGGGGGCACAGGGAAGTGACTGTATGTCTGACCTGCAGATGGAGCTGCAGCAGCAGAGAGATGAAGAGGAACAGGAAAACGCCCCTGAATTCATCAAGATGAAGGGCAACCTGAGGAGGACAAGACAGGAGGCGGGGCCTCAGGAGGCAGGGCCTTAGGAGGCGGGGCCTCAGGAGGTGGGGCCTCGGGGGTGGGGCCTCGGGGGTGGGGCCTTAGGAGGCGGGCTGCTAGGGGCCCTTGCTGCCATGGTGATGGGGAGGCAGTCTATCTGATGTGTGGAGCAGTGGACTTCATGTAAATGGGGGCCCGTCACATCAGTGTTCATATCCAAACCTCCCCCCCACCCCCAGAAGCTGACCTGCTGCTGTCACAGCGCCACCTGGAGGAGAGACGTGGTTGATGTAATGTGCGTGGGCAGGATCTCGGGCACTTGCTGGACGCCTTGGTGCCGCACAGACGTATGTGAAGCCAAAGCTGTGACGTGAGACTCCTGGTTGCTTTCCGAATACTCGATCCTCCCCAGCTACGCGTCATTCTGGGTCATTGCCGCTTTCATATAAACAAATGCGCATTTTAAATGTCCGGTAAGAGTAGGAATTTTTATGTGCTCGAACAGATGCTCTGAAACCTGATCACTGCAGCCTCCAGCTCCGTTTCTAACAGGAAACGCCAGTAAAGATCAGAACAGCCGTTTTCTTGTTGACCTTAGGGCTGTATGGGAGGGACATGGAGATGATATTTTGAGAAGGGTCTGCATCCCTGCCTTCAACCCTGACTCTGCAACCTTTCCAGTCATCGCTGACCACAGTCTTATGCCTTTGCTTCTTTAAAATGCTTTTTTGCTTAGAATGCAGGGTAACGATGCATGTTGCGAGTACCAGCTAAACTAAGCTGAGCATCATGAATAAACGCATGCATTCGTCTGCTGTAACTGTATGAGGAATGAAATTACCTACAATTACCCCGCTCTGTTGTCTCTTGCAGCTGAATTCTTTACCCTTATCTTGATATAAATTCTGGTGTGATGCCTTAACACTGAAATGAAATGAAAAGACTCCAGGAAGTGCAGTATCATGTATGGCCAGTAGATGGAACCATATTACAAGTTACCTGTTAGGAAATTTCATAGCAAGCTGATATCAGCAGGATGTAAAGGTCTTGTTAAACATCCTGTAGCTATGGTTTGTTTTCTTGATGGCTGAAAGAAATAAAGCCTGTTTTTGAAAATGTGTCACATGACTCATTTATGGAAATGGACCAATGCAGGGGGCAACATGTGGCTCAGTGGACTAAGCCTCTGCACCTGTGGTTGAGAGGTTGCCGGTCACGCCCAGCCCTGGCAGATCAGTCACATGTCCTGTGGGCCCGTAAGCAAGCCCTCATCCCCCCCTCACTGGGCAGCACCAGCTGGCTAACCCTTCTCTTTGACTCCAAGCTTGCTCTCACCTGTATGTGCGTCTCATGGGGAGACAGTTGGGGTAAAGACAATATATCCACAGGGATTAATAAAGTGTCTCTATTGTTTTCCATATGAAGAATGATCACCCTGTAGCTATATTTCGGCAGGCACAGGATCCACTATGATACTTTTATTGCACAACCAGATGCAATTTGGTAAAACCTGCAAGAGGAACCTGTGGTGATAAATGCATGTTTACATTTGCATGTGGGATGTCAGGCTGCTTCTTTCCGTCTCTATTGTAACGGGGTCGGTAATGGTGAAATGGGGCTCCCCTCACACAAAATCCGCTTCCCAAAATCTTCAGTAATTATCTGCTTCCTAAGAAAAAAGAAAATAGGTCAGAACTCCTTTGCAAAGAAACAGACTGTCAGAGGTACTAGGTCTGTGTGCCCTTGCAGGCTGGATTAAGCACATACACACAGCAGTGATGCAGCAACTCATTGGATCAGTGAGGTGTGATGGTGCAGGGAGGAGTGGTTGTACAGTGAGGTGTGATGTGCAGGGAGGTGTGGTTGTACAATGAGATATGGTTGTACAGTGAGGTGTGGTTGTACAGTGAGTTGTGGTTGTACAGTGAGGTGTGGTTGTACAATGAGATATGGTTGTACAGTGAGGTGTGGTTGTACAGTGAGTTGTGGTGGTACAGGGAGGTGTGGTGGTACAGTGAGATGTGGTTGTACAGTGAGTTGTGGTTGTACAGTGAGATGTGGTTGTACAGGGAGGTGTGGTTGTACAGTGAGATGTGGTTGTACAGTGAAGTGTGGTGGTACAGTGAAGTGTGGTGGTACAGGGAGGTGAGGTACAAAGTAGTTTGGTTGTACACAGTGGTGTTCAGAGCACCAAACACTGTTTGCATGTTACTACATTCATAGCAAACTGTGCCGCATCCTGTCAATTGCCTGCTGTAGCACCCCGTGCAGGCTCCACTGTACAGTTAGGTGAGAGAGATTGAGGTCAGTGTCTCAATGAGCTTTTCTGGAGCAGGAAATTAGATGGTGCCCCCCTCTCTGCCCCTTGCACACCCCCATATCCTCAGGCACATAGAGACACCCCATGATAACCTAATTATGTGGATGATCCTCTCCTCTGTCCCCCCTCAAATCCGCCACTGTCCCTGACAGGCCCCCGGCCGCTTTGCTGAATTACATCAATGCACCATTGTGCCCTTAGACACAATCCTTCCGATGGCCTCTGTGGTGCACTGAGATAGAGCTGGGTGGGGCAAGATAGATGGAATGGGGTAGAACTGGATGGAGTGGGATAAATTGAGTCGGGACAGAGCAGGATGGAACAGGGTGTAGCTGGATGGAGCAGGATGGAGCTGGATTATGGACAGTTTCCCAAAGACAGGTGTCCAGTGCCTCTCTGAGAGCAGTTCTCTCCTCTGACCAATCAGGCTATTATTAAATGAAGACCCTCCCCTCTGACCAATCAGATTATTATTAAATGAGCACCCTCCCCTCTGACCAATCAGATTATTATTGAATAAGCACCCTCCCTCTTTGACCAATCGGATTATTAAATGAGCACCCTCCCCTCTGACCAATCAGATTATTATTAAATGAGCATCCTTCCCTCTGACCAATCAGATTATTATTGAATAAGCACCCTCCCTCTTTGACCAATCGGATTATTAAATGAGCAGCGTCCCACTCTGACCAATCAGATGATTAAATGAGCACCCTCCCACTTTGACCAATCGGATTATTTAATGAGAATCCTCCCCTGTGACCAATTGGATTATTAAATGAGTGCTCTCCCCTCTGACCAGTCAGATTATTCCATTCTCAACATGATTGATGAAAGAGCTCTGGGTATAAATGAATCAAACCGGGAGCTCTTCCCCCCCCCACCCAGTCTCAACCCCATGGGCAGGAACCTGTTCATTTCCGAAGATTTAAATGGGATGATTAAAATTAACTTGCGCTTGTGGGTGTGATAACAGCCCATATTTCAGGTCCACTCAGACTCTCCCAGTCACAGAATCGCTTGCTGAGCTCTGTGAGGTACCGGTGTGTTGCCAGCTCCTTCCCAGAGCATTGTGGGACAGAGGTGGAAACTTCTCCCCAGCAGACGCGTAATGCCTCAGAGAGGGAGGGGTGCTCTGGGGACCAGTGACGGAATTCGGGGCAGATTATTCTGCTTTCCCAGAACCACCAAATTCCTCATATTTAATTTACAATTATTTAGTATATTTATACTTCATATGTATCTACATCTCCTGTTCCAGCAATTTCTTTTATTTAATACTCATTTTATCATATTTAGCCACATCTCCTCTTCCAGCCATTTCTTTTATCTATTTCACATCCCCCCATACATTCGTCCCTCTGCGGCTCATAGTCATATATCTGCTTTGATGTTTTGCTGACGCCTTTGTCTTGTTTCCTGCTGTCTGGTCCTGTTACATGTTACATGTTCCTGACCGGATGGCCAGTTAGAATTCCTGTGTATTGATGCTGAAAAGGCACATAAAGCTTCTTGAGTCTCTAACCGTCTGACCGTTCTGAGAGACAAACACAAGGAGCGTGTTGTTTTAATGTCATCAGATACGGCAGAGCTGACAACGTACCTTTGAGAGGCAGACGCCTTTATTTCCGCCTGTCTGACGTCTCGCTGTATTTCAGCTTGCTCCCCCCACCCCCAACACATCCCGTGCTGCCCCCCCCCCCAAAATCTGGGCGGCTAATTTGTCTTTGTGTCCGAGAGTCCCCATGTGGCCACATTTAGTCCTGCAAGCATGTTGTGGGATGGTGGGGGTAGGCGGGGCCAGACTGGCAGGTGCAGCTGCTCCATGCTGCAGCCTGGGGAGTGCGGATAGCCCCCCAGTCATGTAAGTGTGGGTTTTCGGGTGGCAATGGATCCACCCCCTCCCCTCCCCTCCCCCATGTGAAGAGCTTGTTTTGGCATGATGGATGGCGGGTCGGTTCCAAAGCCGATTTCTGTGCACATATTGCAAGCTGTTGCACACAACCCTGTTTAATGCTGTGCATGTGTGCTGTTTCTGCTGGTTTCCCCTCTCTTTTTGTATTTACCCTCCCCTTTCCCATGAGTATCCATCCTTCCTCTTTCTTTGAGTATTTATCCCCAGCTTTCTTTGAGTATCCACCTCCTGTCTTTCTGAGAGTGTCCATCCCCGATACTTTTGTGAGTACCCATCCCCCATCCTTCTGTGAGTACCCATCCCCCATCCTTCTGTGAGTACCCATCCACTATAATTCTGTGAGTATCCATCCCCCCTTTCTTTGAGTATCCACCTCCTGTCTTTCTGAGAGTGTCCACCCCCCATCTTTCTGTGAGTACCCATCCCCGATATTTCTGTGAGTACCAATTCCCCATCCTTCTGTGAGTGCTTATCCCCTGTAATTCTGTGAGTACACATCCCCCTTACAGACCTCTCCTTGTGCACCTTTGGAGATGCAGTGCAGACTTCACATAGGGTTAAAATGCCAGTAAGCGTGTGCAGAACTGTGTTTGCTGACATGCTGGTGTGTGGATGCATTTTCAGCCCGCCTCCTTCACGCTCTCCCTCTCTGCCTCTCTCTCTCTCCCGTGCTCCCTCCCTCCCTCCTTTGCTCTCCTCACCACATCCCTCACACTCTTCCCTGTTCCTCGTGTCATGTGGATTCCTGCGAGCTCGTCTCCACAGCCCGTGCTCACTTCATTCCATTAGAGCCTCCGTCTGCAGAGCCGGCTGACGCTTGCAGAAGACGGGGACGCCATGGCCGTGCAGCTGGTTCCAGACTCGGCTGTCTGTCTCCTCATGGTGAGTACCTCCCCTCACCCCCCCCCCTCCTTTCCCCCCCCGGAAGGTGCTAGTCCGTCTGGATGCTGATCGATCGATTTGCTCGGCTGGGAGCCGGGATTAATCTATGTCTCAGAGCTCCCAATGTGTCTCAGAGCTGCCGATTCCTCCTGGTCCGTCAAGGAGCCACGCATGACCCGAGGCACCTAAGATTAAAGAGACAGTCGCTATCTTTGTCTTTTCCTGCATCTGGGCCATGCATGCTGAGTGTGCCGGTATCGCCCGGGGGAGGTGCATATGGTCTTTCAGGTTTGTATTGTCTTAGTTGAGGTGTGTCATAGCTGAGGCATGCACTATGGCACATTTCTAATGAGCTGTGAGGTACACAATTCCCTGGTGCAGTCACTCAGGTGTGGGCATAGTGCTCCATGGTGCTTCACCCTGGGAGCTGGGTTTGGTTGGGGGGGGGGATCACGGGCATGTGTCACCATGGCAATGGGAAGTGCCACGACCAGCCCTGTATCTGGGACTGACGGAGGCCAGAGCAGCTAACATCCTCCACCTCCTGCAGCACCTCCTCTTCCTCCACCACCTCCCATGTGCCTCCAAGCTACTGAAAAATGAATAACACGAAGCTCGGTCTTCTCATTGGCTGGCTGGGGTTGGGCGGGACCCCAAATAGTTCACCTGGCAACAGAATCAGCATACACAGGATGAGAGGCAGAGGCAGGAGATGAGGCAAGGTCCCTCAGGGACAGCTGGGTGGGAGGCCCACCCCCCGCGGGGTGACGGGAAGCTCCCCATCTTCTCTTTCTGCAAGCCTTCCTTTCTTTTATATTTTCTTTCTGATGTTTTCTACAAGGTGTTCACACGGCACCTGATAACAGATAGACAGACGTCTTTGTTAGCTACGCACACACAGCAGATTTGAAATATTTCACTGAGCTGAACTGTTCTTAAAAGGTAACTCCTCGCATACATAGAAACATAAATTGTAGGATTGACAATTTAAGGAATAAATATT